TGCATCAGAGGTGGAATAGCTGGGACTTCAGCAGGAACCCATAAGTGATGCTGGCGATCCAGGCTGTGGCTTTATTTGCCATGCCAGAACATTGGCTTCTGTAGGCAGGCTGATTTTTTTTTAAGTTGATAATTTTATATGGCCAGCAAATGTTAGGAGTATCCAGATGACCCTAGGCAGAAAAGAGAGCCCTAGCATCTAGCCTGTTCTGTTGCCAAACCTGCAGGAATTCTGGGCTCTTCCACAGCCTGTAAGCATGGGCTGTCAATCACCCTTTCCTTGCCTCTCACGTTTATGGTTATTAGAAGTGCATTTCCGTTTATTTCACAAGTCTGTCTGGTTTTTCTACTGGCCCACAAGCTCTGTAGAGGGTAAGAGTTGCTGTTCTGAGATAGGTTTGGGTTTTATAGATTGTACTGTGTGGATTCAGCAAAAATGCTGACAAAGCTCTCAGTGATAACCTCCGGAAATGATAGCCCCTGCAGTTAGCTGGAAGACAATTACACAGTACCCAGACCAAGGAGACAGAACTACAGCTATGTAATGGCTTGCATGACAAGCATGGGGGATTTTAATGTCTGGTTTGGGTAACTTAGGAGGAAAAGGAGAGAGTTGAGAAGGATGTGCAGGAGAATGGAGTTATCATGAGGTTAAGGTAAGCAGAGGGAAGAAAAATAACTTGAGCAGGTTGGGAATAAATCCAGCTTCCCCATTACTGTGATGTTGAGAAGGAAATAGGTAGTAAATATGGATATTTTTGTCCCTAGGAAAGAGTCCCAGCCCTACCATCTGCAATTGATCACTAGGAAGACAAGGCAATGGTTCTACCCCATTTTCTCCTGGGCCTTGTCCGGAATGGTTCAGGAGCAGATCCAAGGGCAAGGATAGTCTCTCTTGGCTTATTTTCTTCTTGTCTTTTCTTTAAGATTTTTTTTTTTTTAAATTGGAAAGTCAGATATACAGAGAGAGGGAGAGACAGAGAAGAAGATCTGCTGTCCACTAGTTCATTCCCCAAGTGGCTGCAGTGGCTGAAGCTGAGCCGATTCAAAGCCATAAGCCAGGAGCTTCTTCCAGTTTCATATGCAGTGGGTGCAGGGTCTGAAGTCTTTGGGCCATCCTAGACTGTCTTTCCAGGTCTCAAGCAGGGTGGGAAGTGGGGCTCCCAGGACATGAACCAGCCCCCATATGGGATTCTGTCATGTGCAAGGTGAGGATTTTAGCCGTTAGGCTATTTTGCTTGGCCCAGCTTCTTTTCTTTTAAAGATTTATTTATTCCTTTGAAAGTCAGAGTGACAGGGATAGGGATAAATAGGATAAGAGAGATCTTCCGTCTGCTGGGTCACTCCCCAGATATCAACAGCAGCCGGGCCAGGCCAGGTTCAAGCAAGGCTCCTTGGAATTCCACCCAGGACTCCCACATGGGTGGCAGCCCCCAAGTACTTGGTCCATTATCTGCTGCTTAACAGCATACACAAGCAGGAAGTTGGATCAGAAGCAGAGCAGCTGGGATTTGGACCAGACACTCTGATGCTGCACACCTGCCCTTCTACTGATGCTAATTATGGCTAATATTGAGCTTCCCACCTGCCAGACACTGTGGTCCTAATTTCTGAGGATTACTCCCTCATGTTCAGAGGAAGTCCCTCACCACTGTCGTTGTTGCTGTTTGGACTAGAGAAAGCTGAGGCTCATAGAGCTTCCTGAGGTGCCCACGTCTGGGGGGTTTCCTGATCAGCAAGCCCCTCGAAACCACTGAGGGGGTAAGGCAACAATATTCAGCAGCAGCAGGAACCACCAGAGATAGTCTGGTCAAGCACATCCATTTATTATCAAGCAAGCATAAACTTAGATAGACTAGAAAGGGGAAGACAGTCCTCCCATCCAATAGTGATACTGTAATTGGCTGGAAGGCATGTCTATTTGGGCCCTCCAATCAAATCACAGATCACATGTGGCTGGCAGGTATGTCTCAAGTCACGTTCACCACATGGGGGCTAGCAGGTAGGCTGTAGGTCGCACTTGACTTCTCAGAGTTGCTTCTCAAGGAAGTCCCAGGACAGCTTGTCCAAGGACAGAGAAGAGAGACCAGGGTGCAGCCTACCACTCTCTCCTGTATGGCCAGTGGTCAGGCCAGGTTGAGTTCTCAGCTGAAACTATTATCAGGGGGCTCGTCTGGGGACACAGTGTGCCATGTGCCTGTAACCTTCTACATAGGCCAAGCAGGCAGAGATCCAGGGACGATCTCCCACACCCATGACAGTGCCTCTCAGTAAGCCAGGCAGCAACATCAGAGCCAGATGGCCTACCCCCTAAGTTCCTGCTACGTCAGAGCACAGACCATGAAGGCCTCCACGTGTGTTGACTCTTCCAGGTTGAAGGCAAGAACTCCATCATTCTGACCTTCAGACAGCTGATGGCAGAAGAGGGGCCTTGGGGCCTCATGAAGGGTCTCTCAGCTAGAATCATCTCAGCCACACCTTCTACCATTGTCATTGTGGTGGGCTACGAGAGCCTCAAGAAACTCAGCCTCCGCCCCGAGCTGGTGGACTCCAGACACTGGTAACATGTGGGAGAGAGAAGCCTACTGTTTCCACACTACACTGGGTCGGGGGCCAAACGGGGAGGATAGCACGCTCTGGAATTCTCCCCTTGTCCCCACCCTCCCATACCCAGCCCTGCTCTGGGCCACGGTAGCCTGGCGGACAGGGACAGAGACTGGAACTGCTGTCGCTGAAGAGGCTCCACTGCTGGGTTCCTTGCCTCCGCTATTTTGAATTCTGTATCTGAACTGGGCACCTTCACTCAGTCGTGTTACTCAGTTACTCAATCCTCCTCTCTAAGGACCCGCCTCCATCCCCCTACCTGCTAACCCTTCTGGATCCTCCCCCACAACTTGCCCCCTGCATCCATGTTCGTGAAACCCTGAGCAGAGCTGGACAGAAAGCCAGCATACTACTACCAGCTCTTCCCCCTCGGCTTCCAGTCTAGCCTCCCTGCAGCTGCCATCAGCCCTTTTCAATTTTGTCTCTCATGCTTGCTTGTTTTGTTTTGTTTGTTGGGATTGAGCTGCCCACAGCACAACTTTGCTTTTTTCTTCCCCTTGGAGGTAAGTTGCCCGCACGTTTGCACAGGGAGCTGGGAGCAGCAGAGCCCTCCCTCCTCCCCCAGCGCCCTTGACTGTCTCTGGAGGAGTTGTCAGACTGGGAAAATGTTGATACTTTGTTTTTCAGTGTGAGTTTTCTTAACATCTGTGAACCAGGCTCTGTTATCTTAGTCCTGCTAATGTGCCATGAGCCCACCCCTTCCTCAGATAGGTGGAAAAAATGTTAACAGTAATTTAGAGTCCTCCCATTTCCCTATCCCTTTAGTATCAGCAGCCCTAGGACAACATAAACTGTCCCCTGGCCCAAATGGCTGCACTGGTGGGCACATTTCCAAGTGGTCTGGATACCGGACTTGGGCCACTACTCAAAAACCTGACAGAAATAGGCTGGGAGAGTAGTTGGTTTGGGAACGAACAAGCAGGTGCATGTTCCTTAGCGCATCTCCATAGGCCCACGGAGCCAAGCCTGGGAGAGCGCAGTGCGGGTTCTGAGCCCCCCAGAAAACCATTACACACATACACACCCAACCACTCAGACTCAAGCAACAGATGTTGTCTGATGGTGAGAAACTCAGAGCTGTAAGACTGTTTTGGTTTTCACCCCGGATGTGAAGAATCATCCCACTGGAGATCCTGTGCGTGGAAGAGAAGGAGGAGCTGAGAAGGTCACCCGATACCAGGACCACTGCATCTACCAGCCTGATACTGCCAACATTCTCTGGGCAAGCTCTTCCTCCGGAGCCAAGAGAGGAGGGCTGCTCCCCACCTCATTCTTCCACCCTCACACCTGTCCTGCCACAACCAGTGGGACAAGAAGATGGAATGTCAAAATGCATTTCCACTCGAGACATTTGGCCAGGGTCATGCTCTCCACTTTCCTATTGGTCCCACCCCTGGGAAAGGCCATGGTGCCAATTTGAAAGGTGCTAGCTCCCCGAAGCCTTGTTATTTCTTAGGGCTGCCCCACATTCTTCCACTTGGGCCAGATAAGAATCTGAAAATCGTGTGAGTATTTATTTCTCTACCTTCAGCACCACCGTTGCCAATCTTGATTTCTTATCCATAAGGATTTTCTTCCCTCTTCCTATTTCTGCTTGTGTGTCCCTGCCCACATTTTTATCAACAGAGTTCCCTGTCCTACAAATGGTTATCCAAAGGATGGGGCCCACAGATCATTTCTGAATCTTCCTGTTCTTCACTCTAAAAACCACCAGTATAAAGGGAGCCTAGGGCCCTTCCTCCCTACAAGCTCAGCTCAGCAGGACCTCCCAGCTGTGGTTTTCTTAGTTCCAGAACTTTCACTTGTCTTTGATCTTCCTTACTATGGCAAAGTGGGTAAAAAGTGTCCTGAACAGGAGGTGGTCCCCTGCCTGCCTTAGGGTGTTTCTCCTTCCCAGACTTTTGTTTTTCTCCTATTTCACCAACTCTTCTCTCTCTTCCTCCTGCCCTCTGTCACCCATAAAGTATGGTGGGTATACAATGAAAGGGACCCCTGGTCTTTTAACGATCTGATAGTTTAGGGACTTGGATTGAGTGTGGCTCAAAACATCTTGGTGGGGATGTAACAATGAGCTTTCAAACCAAGGCTGGAGACCAAAGCAGCGGGCATTCTTAATGTATTGGTTGCTAACCAGAACTAGCAGTAACTTTTGGGAGTCCAGGTAACACAGGACTCTTGGAGTGAGGAGTACCGAAGGGCAGGGGATAGAAACTTAACATCTGATGAAATAGACTCTTGAATACCAACCGCGAATATTCACTGTTGCACTGTACGAAGTCTTTGAAGTGTAATTAAAAGTTTTTATTGAGTCCCCGAATGTGGGTTTGCGCTTTTTCTTCCGGGGTGGCCACAAAGCACTTTGGGACGCTGCACCTTTAAGACTCGCCTTCCCAGACCCCTCCTCCTCCTCCTCCGTCTACGCTGACAGACTAACCGCCTGCTCCAATCGGAGGCCGCGAATGCGGGAGCGGCCAATCGGGAGTGCCAGTGGGCGGGATGGCAGGGTGAGGTTTGATTTGGCGGTCCGACTTGAACATGGCGGAATCAAGCGCCGCTAACTCGGCGGCTGAGGAGAAAGGGTGTGAGGGCTCGTCTCCGGAGTCTGGACCACCGCGTCCTGGCATGTCGCGGGTGCAGCTCCTCGACACCATGGTGGACACTTTTCTCCAGAAGCTGGTCGCCGCCGGCAGGTAAGGCGGGAGGACGGTCGAGGACGTTGTTCGTAGCCTCCGAGGACCGGAGCATGGACGCGGGTCGGGGTGGGGCTCCCCGAGCGGTCCGGCCAAACCCGACCTACAGGTGATGCTTCCCAACACTGTGGCCAGGTAAAGCCGCGGCTGGGACCCCGGGGTCCGCTAGGGGCGCAGACTCGAATCCCACCTCTTCCACTTCCGCTCCGGCTCCCTGGCATTGCACCTGAGAAAGCAGGGAGGATGGTGCGAGTGCGTGGGCCCCTGCACCCACCAGGGAGACCCACAAGACGCCCCGGGTCCTGGCCTGGCCCAGCCCTGGTCGTGGCTGCCATTTAGGGAGGGGATCAATGGATGGAATATATTTCTCCTTTTTCTCTCTGCCTGTCTATACTTTTAGTAGATAAATAAGATCTTTACCAAAAACAAAACAACAAAAACGGGGAGTGAGGAAGAAGAAAAAGGTGTAGCCTTGGCAGCTGGGTCAGGCACAGCTACTTAACTGCCCTGCCTGTGCCTCGCAGGAGCCAAATGGGTCGTTTTTGAGACGCCTGCGTCCTGGAAATCTGTGTGAGTTAAGAGAACAGTAAGCTCGAGGCGAGGATGTGGGAACTAAATGTATTACTATAAAAAGATACTTCTTTTTCTTTTCATGTTTCTTTAAATGATGTCAGACACCGTAAAGCAAAGGCTTTGCTCAGGGCCCAGCACGCCCCCAATTGATGCTAAAACAACTGTTGTCAGAATTCCAGAGTTTGGTACCCAGTCCATGGGCTCTCCCCACACTCTGTCCTTGCCACTGCTTTCCTTTAACCTCATCGCGACTCCACTTTTATGGGAGACCCAGACTGACATTTTGTTCTGTGTTAGGCACTGAGGAGGTGATTAAACAGAAAATGCCTCTTTGTTTAAAATTTATTTTACTTGGACCAGCATTGTGGAGTAGCCAGTAAAGTTACCTCCTGCAGTGCTGGCACCCTATGTGCACACAGGTTGGAGGCCCAGCTGCTCAATGTCCCATCCAGCTCGCTGCAAATGGGCTGGGAAAGCAGTGGAGGATAGTATGAGGTGCTTGGGTCCGTGCCACCCAAGTGGGAGACCTGGAAGAAGCTCCTGGCATCGGACCAGCCCAGACTCTACCATTTGTGGCAGTTTGGGGGAGTAAACCAGCAGATGAAAGATTTCTATGTGACTGTGATTTTCACATAAATAAATCTTTAAAATATATGTGTTTTGTGTGTGTGTGTGTGTGTGTGTGTGTGTGTAAGGCAGAGACCTACCATTCGCTGGTTCATTTTACAAAAGCTGGGCCAGGCCACAACTCTGAGCCAGTGAGCTTCAATAGGTCTAACTCCTGGCTGGCAGGGACCCAAGGACCTGAACCACTGCCCGTTGTTGTGTTCCAGGATATGCATCCACAGGCAGCCAGCCGGACTGGGCCCCAGCTCAGTGGGAGGCCCAGGCAGCAGCTTAACTGCTAGGTTAAATGACCAAGCCTTCATTTTCTTGGCACTTAGAGTTAGTGAGTAGAGAGATGCTATAAACACTAATCATGTGATGCAGTAGTGGGTACTAGGTAACAGGGTTAGGTGAGCCTCCTCCAAGGAGGTAAACTTTTTTTTTTAAGGGCTTACTTATTTTCATTGGAAAGTCAGATTTGCAGAGAGAAAGACAGAGAGGAAGATCTTCCTTCTGCTAGTTCACATGAGTGAACCACAATATAGCCACAAGTAGCCACAGTGGCCAGAGCTGAGCCAATCGGAAGCCAGCAGCCAGAAGCTTCTTCCAGGTCTCCCACGTGGGTGCAGGGTCCCAAGTCCTTGGGCCATCGTCGACTGCTTTCCCAGGACACAAGCAGGGAACTGGATGGGAGGCGGGGCTGCCAGGATTAGAACCGGTGCCCAAATAGCATCCCAGTGGATGTAAGGTGAGGACTTTAGCCATTAGGCTGTTGCACCAGGTCTGGAGGTAAATATTTGAACTGGAAGTCAAACAACAAAGAACCAGGCTTTTGGATTTTGTTTGTTTGTTTGTTTGTTTTAGATTTACTTATTTTTCTTGGAAAGGCAGATTTACAGAGGGAAGGAGAGACCGAGAGGAAGATCTTTCATCACTGGTTCATTCCCCAAATGGCCACAACAGCCGGAGCTGAGCCAACCCAAAGCAAGGAGTTCTTCCGGGTCTCCCACGCGGGCGCTGATTCCCTAGGCCTGGGCTGTCTTTGACTATTTTCACAGGCCACCATCAAGGATAGGAAGTGGAACAGCTGGTACATGAATGGGCACCCACATGGGATCACGGCAAGAGAAAGGTGAGGATTTTAGCTACTAGGCTATCACGCCTGTCCCAAGGAACCAGCTTTTAAAAAATTTGTTTATTTTTATTGGGGTCTGGCACAGTGGCCTAGCAGCTAAAGTCCTCACCTTGCACACACTGGGATCCCATATAGATGCCGGTTCTAATCCTGGAAACCCCGCTTCCCACCCAGCTCCCTGCCTGTGACCTGGAAAAGCAGTCGAGCACAGCCTAAATCCTTGGGACCCTGCACCCGTGTGGGAGACCTGGAGGCAGTTCCTGGTGCTTGGGATCGGCACAGCACTGGCCATTGCAGTCACTTGGGGAGTGGGTCATCGGACAGAAGATCTTCCTCTCTGTTTTTCCTCTCTGTATATATGACTTTGCAATAAAAATAAAATACATCTTTAAAAATAAATAAAGAAATATTTTTAAAAATTATTTATTTTAAAAATTCTTTTATGTTGGTAATCTTTGCATGGTTGATTAGGGCATAAAGGGTCAAGGGCTACAGAAAAATGGGTAAGACCATTGTTTCCACATTAATATTATTTTTTTCTGTATCTGGGGTAAGGGAAGAGAAAAATTGTTTATTTTTATTGGAAAGGCAGATTTACAGTAAGAAGGAGAGACAGGGGGCCCGGCGCTATAGCGTAGCCTAGTGGCTAAAATCCTCAACTTTAACACACTAGGATCCCAATTAGGCACTGGTCCTAATCCCAGTGGCTCCATTTCCCATCCAGCTCCCTGCTTGTGGCCTAGGAAAGCAGTCAATGATGGCCCAAAGTTTTGGAACCCTGCACTCACATGGGAGACCCAGAAGAGGTTCCTGGCTTCGGATTGGCTCAGCTCCAGTCGTGGCCGCTTGGGTAGAGAACCATCAGACAGAAGATGTTCCTCTCTGCCTCTCCTCCTCTCTGCACATCTGTCTTTCTGATAAATAGATCTTTAAAAAAAAGAAAAAGAGAGACAGATAGAAAAGGTTATCCATCTTTTGGTTCACTGCCCAAATGGCCACAACTGCCAGAGCAGAGTGATCTGAAACCAGGAGCCAGGAGCCTCTTCCAAGTCTCCCACGTGGGTTGCAGGGTCCCAAGGCTTTGGACCATTGGCTTCTGTTTTCCGAGGCCGCAAGCAGGGAGTTGGATAGGAAGTGCAGCAGCCAGGATCTGAATTGAACTGGTGCCCATATGCGATTCCAGTGCTTGCAGGTAGGGATTTAGCCAGTTAAACCATCACACCAGTCCCAGAAACCAACTTTTTGAAGAATTACAAAAAGTCTAGAGACAAAAGTAACTGAGCTGTTCTCACATTTCCAGACACCTATGGGTTGAGCATTTAAAATGTCACATGGAAACCAAAACTGCCGTTCCTGCCAGCGGGGCACTTCAGTGTGAGAATTGCATAGAGGCCAGCACCGGCAGCAGTTGCACCATTTGTGGTCAGCTTGCTAGCTGCTGCACCCTGACAGCCTGGCCAGGGGGTCCTGAGGGCAAGCAGGGCTGCTGGTGTGGCTGAGGGCTGTGCTGTGTGACCCGCGCTGGAGGCTGCCACTGCGGTTTCCATGGGGGAAGCAGTTTTGAGCCCACAGGGCCCGACGTGCCCTACCAGGAGGCCTGGGAGACCCAGCCAGGGCAGCAGGAGCAGTTTGGTGCTTGAGTATACCCAGGATCAGGCTTACAGGAAGCTCTGTGAGGATTTCAATCAAGGGCTGAGACAATGCAGACCTGCCGATGGGTTAGTCGAATCAAGAAGTAGAAAACGGAATCTTACCACCTAGTTGCGCTTTTTTTTAAGATTTGTTATTTTATAGGCCCTGATCTATGGATCAGTGACTAGATCCTCGCCTTCCAAGCACCAGGATCTTGCAAGGGCACCAGTTTGTGTCCAGATGAAGCTGCTGCCTTTGGATTGGCTCAGCGCTAGTCATTGAGGCCACTTTGGGAATGAACCAAGGGAGGAAAAATCTTTCCGTCTTTCCTCTCTGTAAATCTGCCTTTCCAAGAAAAATAAGTAAATCTTAAAAAATATTTATTTATTAATTTATTTGAAAAATCAGTTACGGAGATTGGAGGGGAGAAAGACCTTGCATCCACTGGTTTACTCCACTAATGGCCACAGTGGCCAGAAAGGGTCCTGTGCTCATGGAGTGGACAAAGAGATCAGCGTGAATGGAGAGGAAGGGGTTATAGCAAATGTGAGGCCGCGACATTGGAATGTGCTTGTGTCCTTGTAAAGGATGCTCTCGTCTTGCCTGTGTATGGTTTCAGTGTGTGTGAGTGATAGCCATGTTAGCATGTCTCTTTTTCATTCAGCACCAGTTTGAGATCTGTCAGTGTCCCCAAGTGCCCATGGTTGGTAGCTTCTCATTGTTGCTCGGCCTTTCTTGATTTACATCCAGTGCACACCCTTTCCTGTCAGACACTCGGTTGCCGCCCACTCCCTCCTGCACAGGTTACTCAAGATGAAGCACCTAGAACATCCCGTGCCACACCTGTGCTAGAACAGGTCTGAGGTGTGTAACTCGGGCGGGCTCACTGATTGTGGCCTTCACACCTGCCTCCAGAGAGGCTGGTCCTGTCTCCCGCACCTCCCACCATCCCTGGGGAGCCGCTGTCTGTGTACTTGTCTGGCAGGTGCAGGTAGGGCATATTCAGTTTGTGTGACCCTGTTTCTATGTGAGTTTGGCCATTTCCTCTCAACAT